ATCAAACTAGCAGTTCCCAACTCAGGCTAGAAGCCGAGATATTGTCAAAGTGTCCCGCCAAATCGGGGGTCTTAATGATTTGGCGGGCACTGTATTGATGGCGACACATCATATTTTAGGAGCGACATTATTTAGCTTAACGCGGACGTTGGATCGAAGTTGCAGAGCATCCAGAGCTGCATCAAGGAAAGGATAGCTGATTAAAGACACTTAAATAATGCATATGTTTTATGACAGAATAGTTGAGTTCCGGGTCATTGGTGTGACCCGGGTCACCGCATGTCATGAAATGCGAATAAAAAGTTTATCAAACTCTAGACAAAATGTTTTGTTTTTTTTACCGCTGGGGGTGGAGTAACGTTGACGATAGATTTTCAAAAATAAGGAAAAATTATGAATGAAATTCGTTCTCACCGTGGCGGTAGCAAATAAAAATATCAGCGTTGGTTACAACGTGACGTAGCTTTAATGTCTCATCCCACACTTTGCCTTCCGTTGGGATCTTAGTCCTGCCGGTAGGACCAGCTCACGTTTCAATGTTATGGTGAGTCTTTGAGAGAATGAGAACTTTACAAGTAAATAGTACAAACGAAATCAAATGATGGTTCGTAAATCCAGCGATACTGCAGCTCGGCTTTGAGATACAGGTTGCCATTCTGAATCTGTTGGCTAATCTTCTTGATCCTGGCTTTCGATGACGACGGACTAGATGACGATCCCCTGGCTAATTTAAACTCGAGTTTATAACCGAGATAATATACAGGCCGGGCCAAAATATCTGCAATGAGCAATACATGTTAGCACATCATTTCCCAAAAACCGTCTGTAGTGAATATAAAATCTCTACTCACTACGTACGTTTTCGCCACATGTGCCAGTGCATCGAGCTCGCTCTCTTTTGAGGATTCCAAACATGTCGTCGGGGCCCGACGTGATTGCGATATGATCTGCTCAAATAGGAACTTTCAATAATTTGATTAAGACATTTAATTATCATATATGGTACAATTGAACTACACAGGTCTTAAACCGCGGTAGGGGTGAAAGATCAGTACGATAATTTCATTTATCGAGGTTCAGGCCGACGAAGCCTTAGGCCAAATCCGAGCTAAAATTTAGACCAGGATGGCATCATCACTTACAGAATATGGTAAGGCTACGCACTACCAAAGCCACCATTCAGTGAGTTAAACGCAATGACATCCGTTCCTGGTTGGTAAGGCTTTAGCGCAACAGTAAGCCAGCAACTTGGTCTAACAACCTCCGCTCAGCCATGGAATTTTCGATTGATATTGTGTAGTGCAGGGCATATATGAGTAGACCTTGTCAAGGTTATCAACAGCAACAAATTGGCTGGTCACTTACCGGTAATGGTCAGCCTGATCACTGTATGATGTACGGCTAGAACGCAGCAAGGATGATCAGCACCTGCATAACGCAGAACTTGGTGGCAATTCAGCATGTATAACGACAAACTCGTTGACATCAACGACATCCAATTAAACAACTAGGTCGCCGAAGGCAAGACAAGCCTTCGGCACGAGTTAGGTTAAATGAGGATCCTCACGTTCCAACTTACCAGCAAATACACTTGGCGATAACTTCCTGGAGACTCCGCCAGCTCCCCCGTGTGTCTTCAGTTGCCTGAATACACCACAGATTGCAATAATTGATGCGAAATACTTTTCTATGTTACAGCATTACAATTTAGATGCTGGAATAGAATAAATTCTCACCATCTGCAGAGAAATTGACAATTCTTGAGTGTGTAAATAGTTTCGACGTACATTGTATCTAACACTTCTTACTTAACGTTGCAGAGAATTGAGGATGCATCGTTGATGATGGTATTGCAACAGATTTCACAGATTTATCTCCTATTGGGACTGCAATCGGTTCAATTTGTGGGGGATGTGAAGGATCAACAGGACTGGAGGGACAAGCTGAACGATGAACAGAAATCATCGGTTCTGTAAAAAAAAAAAAAAAAAAAACGCAAGTGCTGTGAAATACGCATGCGTTGTCAGGTATTAATCTGGGGGTTAATTGTGTACGATCTGTTTGTACAAGCCGTCAAGCTTCTAGACGTATTCTGGATGCTATTAAGAATGTCGTCGAGGCTACGCAGAGTGATGGTAGTGCAGCGTGCACTTTGCGGGTACGCCTCGCAGACGCACATAGCGAAGGAAGCCCATAAAGGAATTGTACTCATAGATTTGTATACGAATTTTAATTAGTGATTAATCCCAAGCCATACCGACTGTAATCGCAGATTTAGGTGTATTCGCAACTCCCGTACGTATTTCCTGAACCATGTTTCTTGTGGAAACCTTAAAGTACCAATGCTGGCTGTTTGAGTATCGCACTCGGTATTTGCCCAGAACCATTAAAATAATGAAATTATTACTTTCTCGACATCCTGAAAAAAGTATTAATTTGATAAATGCAATTTCGGGACCCCTGGAAAAGGCCGGACGACAGATTTGGCCATGTAGACACAGGTGCCTAGCGCGGCTTGCGAAAACGGTTTGTTTCTTCGTTTTATTAGTCACTGTAGTAGGTCTTGATGTAAAACCAATCGCGAAGGAAGCTGGCGCTCCTGGTGAACCCAAAGTCTATTGGTGTTCTAGCTTATAAGTTTCTTCAGTGTCCTTTCACTACTAGCACAGCCTGTCGGCTCTGTAGTGGCTTCGTAACTCCTATCTTCCTATTGCCAGCTTGGCACCGCATGAGATGCAATGCCCAGTAAGTGGGGATAGGCTTGCCTTAGAGTGACCTCCCACTACAGTCACAATGGCAATCTCAGCAGTTTACCCACATTTATATTAGGAAAAGGTTTTCTGCATTTTCGACTGTAGATTCTGCAGTGTACACCTCATCTTGCACTGTAACCTCCCTCATCCACGCGCATCAAACTTCCTTCCATGTTGGTGTCCTCAGATCTTGTTAAACTCTGATCCGTTTGCATGCTTGTTTGGGGAAAAAGGAAGAAAAAAATGCAAAAGATCATTGCAGTATCAAGCCGGTGTCCTAGTGCGGTACAGACCACGTAGATTACTTGGTATAAGTATATAAGTTGTATGTGATAACTTACCACTTGTAAGTGGCGGTTGCTCGTGGACTTCCGTGCCTCCCAGACGGCCACTTTTCCGGATGAACTGGGTGCTCATTATTAAACTTACCATGGAGGTACAACAGCATGCAACGTTTGTTCTTGGAATACGCGGATCAACCAACAACGTTCGGCTTCGAGTTATCGATATAATATAAGTATGAAGGAGTTGCCAACTAATTGTCGCGAAATCTAATTATTTTCCCGTAGTAATATGGACTCGTTACTACTGTAGGTCACTGCATCGGTCAGGTGTACTTTGTACAATGCGTTATAATAGTTTGTTCAAGTGATCACGTACTTTTCTGTGTATTTGTGGACTCTTTGACTAACATGTGAATTCCAGAGCACACACATGCTGTAAATGTACCTGAAACACTATGTGCTCCTAAAAACGAGTGCGGTTCATCTAATTTGTTGCAAGTATTCAGCGCAGGAGATTTTTTGGAAGTCGAACTTAATCCTGAAACTTGTCTTTTTTGGTTTAGAAATTACAATTTCTAACCCGCTAGTGTATCGGCAAGTTGTGATCTGTTTAGAGGCACTGCTCCTTCCCTTCACACTAACTAGCTTGAAGCAGGTACTTAAGAGGATTTGCAGCTGAGAAGACCATATCATTCTAACTCAAGAACTTTGGCGTGGCCAAAGAGGAGATGAGCACGGAGTGTACATTTTGTATTTTGATGCCAAACGAAAATAAAAATTACCAGGAAATATTAATATCATCACTCTTCTCAGTTGAGAAAATATATAACTTATATGTTATCGCTTAGGTTAAGTTCCAAGAAATTGATTATTTGTTGCTGCTAAGAATAAACAAATCTATCTCAACCTACGCGAAGCCCTAGTAGCATTCTTCACCTTATAATACAAAGGGCCCCCTGACCATCTGGTGAAATATACCACGATTGTCTTTGTAGTATAATTTATACTGTATAAAAATTCATGTACCACTCTTCTGGATAGCTTTAGTGACCATCTGGTGAAATAGAGCAACAACAACAACAACAAAAAAGATGGCCGGGATGCGTAACGATGTCAACAGCTAAAAAAAAAACAGATTTGGTTTCTCTTACCAGTAATAATTATGGTATATCATAGTTAACATATATATGCTTGGAGCAAATGTCCAAAGGTGGTGTTCTTAAGCCCCTGCGTGTTTGTTTGCTTGCAGTAATCCGACTTTTGTATTTGTATTCATAAGGCGCGCGCAGAGCGACTATAGGACCTCCCAATTCTGCTGCAGTTTCTGGTGGCAGGCTTTAACGTCCTGGAGTCCTGGGGTAGCGTTTTTCTTCAGTGTTTGGCAAGCTATTTTATTTTAAATAAATATATTACCAATAAATTACTTTTAAAACATAAAAATAGCTTACCAATCAATTACCGTAAGTTACTATAATGTAAAATAACAGTTTTACAAAACTGTAACTTTACCGTAATTATGTAACATACACCAATGTGGTGTGTAGAGTAAGTGGTGTGCGCTCAATCAAGTCACCAGCCAGTCCCCATGGCCTTCTCCTTCGGCGGCACCGCTGCGGCGCCTGCCGCCTCCTCCGGTACGTCTCAGCCGCTCCGCCCCCTCTCTATTTAATCCTCACCACCACCCTATCTACCTCTTATAGGCTTCAGCTTCGGCTCCACGCCAGCCGCCCCCGCCGCCTCGTCGGGCTTCAGTTTCGGTGCGACGTCTGCGGCTCCAGCCGCATCCAGTGGCTTCAGCTTCGGCGGATCTTCGGCTGCTCCTGCTGCTTCCAGTGGCTTCAGCTTTGGCGCTACCCCGGCTGCGCCAGCGGCCTCCAGTGGCTTCAGTTTTGGCGCTACCCCGGCGGCTCCAGCGGCCTCCAGTGGCTTCAGCTTCGGCGCGAAACCTGCCTCGACGCCCTCTACAGGCTTCAGCTTCGGAGCGTCGACCGCTCCAGCGTCTACTGCCCCCAGTCTCTTTGGAACAACAGGGACGGCCACAACGACGCCTGCGCCCACAGGATTCGGCTTCGGAGGCTTCGGAACGCAGCAACCAGCGGCGACAGGAGGCTTTGGAGGCTTCGGCACGGCACAACCTGCAGCTGCAACTCAACCAGCGTATGTGTGAAAAAAAATTTTGCTGCAACTTTAGAATGTCTCGCGGTGCACTAACGAAGTGTTATGTTGCTGTTTAGTGGCCCTCCGATCACATTGGAGACGGCGTTCGAGGCGCTACCGGATGACGTCAAGAAGAACATGACGCAGTTCCACGCCTTCCTCAAGGAGCAGGACCAGTCGGACGCCTTCCTCAAGACTGTGTCACCCCGTCAAATGGAGGTTTTACGCGAGAATATGGCCAAGTTGGAGCAGGAAGTACTGGCACGACGCAACCGGCAGGACCGCCAGACTGCCGCGGTACAGCATGTGCGTCAGGATGTCCGCCAGTTGCTCCATCAAGTGGATGCAGCTACTCTAACTCGTCGAAGTCTGGACAGCAGCAACGGTGGCACACCCAACATGTACCACGTCATGCGACGCGTAGAGATGCCTTCGCCGTATTACTGGGAGTTGCTGGACCACTACGAACAGAAGATGGCGGCTATCAAGGCGCAGATCGAAGACGTGGAGGCGCAGTTTAAGCCGCTTTACGATGGCCGGAGTAACGCCAACGCAACTGGAGCTGGAGCCCCCGCGCCTGCCCAACTGCAGCAGATTTTACTTGCACAGAACGCTGCACTCATGCAGGCTGCAGCTCGCGTGGCGGAAGTGCACGAGAAGGCTGAGGAACTGCGGCAATTGTTCCTGACTAAGATGCGAGAAGACCTGGCTCGACATGGTGAGAAGAACCCGGCAGCTTTCCAGAACCCGTTCGACAAGCGTAAGAAGAGCAGCGAGGCAGATAAACGCCAGGCGATCGACAAGATCCGCTTCCGTACCAGTGTCGCGCCTACAATCGTGACTCCGCAGCCAGCTGCAGCTCCTGCTACAGGGTTTGGCTTCGGGACGACAGCGTCCACAGCTACTACTGCTCCGACTAGCGGCTTCAGTTTCGGCTCGACAGCTGCGTCTGCGCCAGCTAAGACCGTGTCGTTCAACCTCACAAGCACCACAGCCACGTCCGTCGCTCCCCCTGCCACCACTACTAGCATTACGGCTGCACCGCTGGCGACGGGATTCACAGCGCCCACAGTAGCTACAAGCGGCTTTGGCTCGTCATTCCTTCCGTCCGCTACTGACACTTCGGCCGCGGTCGGCAGCAAACGTAGTGGCCGCGCTCAAAAGATGCGGAAGTAGAGTCGGTAAACTACCGTAATAAATGACTACATTTGGACGAAGAAATGGAAGCGTGTACTAAAATATCTTACCGTTTCCCAGAAGAAAAAAATAGTAAAAACAACAAATGCAAGTAATGAAAGCGCCAAAACGAAGTAATCTTGGCGTGTCTGGATCTCACCTATGCAGAGCACGGGATGAACTTTACGCTGTTCATGGTCTTGTTCATAGAAGCCAGCACTTCCAGCACATCCATGTTGGCCACACGCCACGTATCGTCCACCAGACCTTGCGCGGTGGCGTTCGAGTCGTCAGGAGCCGGGTATGGCCACGTCGTGTCCGGGTTCAGCGTCCACCAGAAGCCACCGGCGAGGAACGGCTCCGTTGATCCTGCCATTTGAGAGATAACGTCCTGGATAATACGCGTGCTGGTTTGCTTCTCCGTGGCGTCGAGATCGCCCACGAGACCACCGAAAGACGACAATACCACGGCCATACCGGTATCGAAAGCTGCTCCGAACGAGTAGTTCATGTTCAGCTTCACGTTGGCCAGCAAGTCCGCGTCATCGTACTCGACGTAATCTTCCAGCAGATCACCACTGGTCTGGCCATCCTCGAAGAAGAAAAGACGCGGGAGATACGAGCTCGAGTAGTACTTGGGTGCGTACACCACCTTGTTGTCCGTGTCCAGTGTAATGGGTGCTGAACTGACACCCGACAGGTCTGAGCCAGGCAGGAAGGTGTTTTTAAGGGAACGATCACCGTACGTGTCCTTGTGGCTCTCTCCCTGCACTCCTTGGACGAACGCCAGCCACTTCGGACACTTGGTAAGCATGTGGTTGGCTAGTTCCGTTGCTGCTACCGACCAGTCTGTATCGGATCCATCGCCCCACGTCGCGTCGGTACTGAGGCCGTCCTTGAGGTCAATACCGATGATGTTAAAGTGCGTGGAGTCACACATGGCTTCAGCCAGATTCGTGATGGCTGTCTTGATATCGGCCAGCTTAATAGACGAGCCATACCAGAGACCGGAACTGTCGTCGTCGGACGAAGAGAGCACGTGGAAGTCCAGCACCACACCGATGTTAAACTGGCCCAAACCTTGCACCAACAGACCCAGCAGTGTGTTGTAACGCGAGGCCGTGCCCAGCGCACGGTTCGAGTTGGTGTTGATGAGGTTCGTGTCGATGTCCGTGTTACGCATGACGGCGTCAATGGACAGTGGGAAACGCACGACGTTGAATTTGTTGTACTTGAGGAAGTAGCCGTAGCGGTAGAGTGAATCTCCGTCCACCGTGTTGTCCCACAGACCTTTGGGTACACCCTTCGAGTCCTCCATACCCTTCCAGTTGATGCCCTTAATGTCGATCTGCGTGGACGTGCCATCCGCCAGCTGCGCGAAGATACGACCATTCTTACTAATGTAGTTGGGCTGTTCACATCCCCTGTCCGTGTACGTCTTTGGGTTCGTGGTGGACAGATCTGACGCCGGGTCTGTGGGGCTGCCATCCTCGATCTGCGTGCCGTCGCTGTACCTGGATTCTTCGGAGGCCTCACTACTGGCCACGGTCTCGTTCACATCGTCGTGTACTTTGATTCCATAGTACGTTAGGCCTGCGATGGACACGACTGCGATAAGGAACAGTGCTAACGCTCCAGGCCACGTCTGAAGGAAATAAAGAGAATGTTAGTGACCATCACTCCTAGAAGTATTAAAAACGACTGCTACGTACCGAACGACGGCCACGGTAGCGCGCCTTCTTGCCGGCAAAGGTCGTGTCGACGTCGGCGGCGGCGATGATGCGCTCGACTTCGGAGCTGCGGCCAGCGGAGAAGGAGCCTCGCCCCACGCCGCTAGGACGGCCTGATGTGCTCATGGTCGCTTGTGTCTGTACGCTGCTAGCTACTGGCGAGTCGTTACGCGTCTGAAGCGTCTGGAGGTGCCCGAGAACTCTTCGGCCTTTTGCTCGATCCTCCTGCGTTTGCACTGAAGGTTGGCGACTGCGCCGTCTCTAGCGAAAGAAACGGAAGAGAGGGAACGCACTTGCGAATTGTATGCTGCTTACAAATGCCTTGATACATTTGAGAGACTAGGGGTTGTGTAGGTTACACAGGCGAAACGTCTTGCTAGAAGTGCTCTATGCGAATGGCGAGTCGGAATTTCCAGCCAAGCTATTGACGCGCCCGATGTAGCTACTGTTGTCTACCTATCATATATGTTGGTAGGCTAATGCTGCCAGTGACATTGCGAATGGGTTGGCATGGCTAATATGTATCAGGTCGGGTTCAGCGAGGCCGGACTGAATCCGGCGGAATCTATAGGATATCACCCAGTTCGTCAAAGTGTGACCCGATCTCAGCAATGCTGAAAATTTCAACTTGGAATCGCACTTACTCGAAGTGGCTACATGTGGCTGTCATTGCGAAATATTTCATTTGAAAAATGTAAGGGCATCAGCGACTACCCTGTCCGCTTGATTCCTAGACTCCTTTGGAATCAAGTTTGAGTATGACTGCTATTATTATCCAGGTGTATGGCCAAGTGCTCGCTGGAGTCTGTATCATTCCGGGACGCAGCAGCGTCAAATTTGATGAAAAGCTACCAAAGCTATTGAGTCTGCTGCGTCTGCTGGGTGTAGCGATTCATGAATCACGAATCACGAGCCGTGATTTACAACCTGTGGGTCCTCTTAGACGGTGCCAAGTTACGCATTTGCCCTCATCTTGGCTGGCTTTCTCAGATGTCTCGCACAGATACACATATGACTGCGGGCTGCCGGTTGGTCCGGAGTAGTGAACGTGCAGCAGCAGGCTGTGGTGATCCCCAATTGTTTCGCAAAGCAATTCCATTAAAAAATCATCAACTTGACTTCTATGGCTAGTCGTCAACGCATTGTCCTTTGAAAATCGGATCTGGAATTTCACCTTACGCATTGCTGCGTCATTCTGACAGTCTTCTTCTACTGCAGAAGCTTTACGTCCATGTAGTATTTCCACAGCAGCATCACACACTTCAACATCGCCTTGCATGTGCCGTATCACATCGTAGTTACTGTAGCTTTTCATTTCTGCCTGTCTTTGGCCCAATAGAAACCAACAGTCCAACCACGGAGCACCGCACATCAAAGCAGTGACCATGGTGACGGACCGCAAGACTGCAGCGAAGGAGACCACCTCGACCCTCGTCTCCTCCGTTGCAGTTGCCACTGAAAACGGCAGTGAAGACCGTGATTGGTACAAGCTACAGGTGACGTTCCAGGCTTCCCCCGAGACCATGCTGGTACGAATTACACTGCACACACGCGCTGTTTGACTCGGGGCAGTGACTAACTGTGGAGCTCCATGCAAATACCAGCTTGGCTATGCAGAGATGAGTGCGGCGTGGCGGTTGTTCCTATTCGGCAACGGCTCGCCCACGCATCATTTAGGGCTCCTTACGGGCTCCCCCACCGAGGTGGATGTGCTTGGGATGCTGCCGGTAGGAAACAGCGCGGACAATGCACCGTCCGAGATTGAAGCCATTGTAGCACCACGTTGTAGACGCCAAGTTTTCCTGCGCAACGCCCGTGGCGAACGTCTGGGCTACGCAGCGTCGTGGATCAACGTGGGGGACGTGGGGGCAGTGTTTAAGGACACCAAGATTCCTATCGGCAAGAATATTCTACAGCACAAGACAGAGCTGTATCGTGACATGAAAAGCGTCTTCTGTGGTCACTCGACCGAGTTGGAGAAGGCCTTTGGAGCGCCTGGGCCCTTCTGGGGTCGCTCTTACCTCTTCTGGAACGGAGGAAGGCCTGTGACCTTCATCTACGAGGTCTTCTCGCCTGCACTGGAGAAGTATATGGGCAAAGTGCTGCAATAGATGACGCAACATCCACTAGAACGTGATATGAACAACACAATAGACAACCACCTGCCAGCTAATGTCCACTAGGTGAGTCTATTGCAGCCTCTGCGTTATGAATCGAACAGGTTCACGTCCGTACAGGCTCCTCTCTACATTGGCTACGCTGTACCTCGTGCATACTTGCTCGCCTGACGTTTGTTATCCTTCATCATCGCTCGCAAGACTTACAGCGACATACGCCATCGGCCCTTGTTAAAACGGCGCTTGAGTACTTTGCGGCCCGAGATGGACACACGGCGTGTGCGGAAACCGTGCTTGCGCTTGCGACGCAGCACGCTGGGCTGGTACGTGCGCTTGATGGCCTGCAGGGGTTCTATAACAAAAAAAATGTGATTCAATACGTTATTTGGGCATTCTCTGGCATAGTAGCAGCAGCAGCCATACCGTTTAGGTTGTCGGTGGGGCATTCTACCTCTCCGATCTGCGGCAGGAAATCGTCGATCTGCAGGCGGTTGACGCCAGTCTCGAAGATCAGCGGGTTGTGGACCAGCGCGTCTGCCACGGAGGGTAAAACAGACACGTCAGTCATAGCGAAGAGCAATGGAGGCGCAGGAAGATGACACGCACTCATGTGGTTAGTGGGGGTAGCCATCATCAGCACGGAGGGGTGCGGCATCGAGCTCGAGGATACGGAAAAGCTGCCGCTAGAAATACTGGATAGGGCGCGCACACCCGAAGTGCTCGGTCGCGCTCGCAGACTCAGCTGCAGCGCGTTCTTCACGAGCATGGACGCCATGTTGCCTCGGTCGCTGCTAGCCGCTTGTTCGTTGGTATGAAAGGCTGGTGGAGTTCGTTAGAAATCCTGTACAAACAGATTAGAAAATCTAGTTTAAAAATTGAGTTTGTTAGAAATCCTGCTTAAATAGATGATGGAATGGCTCGTTCTTGAACGTTACGAACTCAGACTACCACATTCTACCGGGAAATTCGCTGGGACTTGTTATCATGGTGGCGGCCGACGCTGCAGAGTCGCCCGGAGCCTCCGCGCCGGACGTGGAGGTGGTGGAAGTGAGCAGATCGAAGGTGACAACGACGCGTAACGAGCGCTCGCCGCTACTGTCCAAACCTGAGGAGGAAGTCTATCCTTTGCCGTGGTTCCGGAGCCCTGAATGGACCAGACAACCACCGCCACCCGCAAGAAACCCCGGACGTCGCAGTCAAAGCGCTGCCAACAGCAAGAAATCTTCTGCGTGCCCATCAGCACTACTGTGCTGCTACAACTCGGCGTCGGACGCTGGCTCTGAGTCAGAGATGGAACTTGGCAATCTCGTGCGAAGACCGGCGAACGCGAGCGAGGCCGACGCAGAAGCGGACAGCTTCAAGCAGTGCATCCAGTTTCTAGTGGGGCTCATCTTGATCATGGCCATGGCTCTCATCCTTCTGATCATTTTCCAGCCCCAACCCGACAGCTCGCGCTGAGCAGCGGCGACGTCCATTAACGTTAGAACTCCCCAAGAGAGAACAGCAATTAATATCAAGAGTGTGGGTGAAACGAAGCAAAGAGGATGCCACCAAGATGTACAATACAATAACCCCCGCCCCACATCCGCCGCGAGTCAAGCCCAGCAAGCTTAAACAATAAAAGCTAACGTGAATTCTGAAAACCACGCTGCTTCAGGGACATCCATCGCGTTGCTGTGCTACTACACAGCTCCTGGTTCCAACGGTTCCTCATGCAACAAATTTGATGACACGGCTACATTTTTGTCGCCATTAGTGCTGTTCACTGGTCTACTACGCACGTCTACGCCTTCTCCTTGGCGAGGTAGGCGTCGTGCAGCTTCTTCTGCTTGTCCTGCTCCTTCTTGAGCTTCTTGCGCTGGTTCTTGGTCAGCTCCTCGCCGGCCGCGTTGTGCGTCGGTAGACCCTCGGCGTCGAACTGCGAGTACAGCTCCGGCTGCTTCTTGAACATGTCGGCCGGCGACAGCTTCATCTTCTCCATCTTGAGCGCCAGCTGCTGCATCTGCGCGTCCTTGCGACTCGCGTTCGCGCCCGCCGCCGCGCCGCTGGCCGCCTCGCCGCCACTCTCGCGCAGTGCCACAATCTGGTTGACCACCTTCTTGTCCTTGGTCGAGTCCTGGTCCGGCACGAAGTAGCCGATACGCTCGAACTGCACAATCTCGCCCAGGTTCTTGGCGTACGACTCGGGGTCCACGAGCGCCGACGCGTACACGCGCTCCGAGTTCTTCGAGTCCACGAACGACTCCCAGTCCTTGACGTCGCTCGGCAGCTCCGGCACTGTGAACAGGTGTGAGTACACGCGCACCTCCACCTTGGGGCTGTTGGCCGGCACCCACGACAGCACGCCCTTGGGCTTGGCTGCGTTGGTCCAGTCCATCTGGCCCAGCACCTTCGTCACGCGTCCACTGGCGTCCGTCTCCAGCTTGGTGCACGTGAACGGGAAGGCGTATTTCAGACGCACCTGTTTGTTGGGCGCCACGCCGTAGAAGTCCTTCGAGTCCTCTGTACGCACGTCGCTACGGTCAAGGTAAAGTTTCTGAGTGAGCTGCACCTGGTGGTACGCGTTGCCGCCGTCGCGGTCTGCGTCTTGTGGGTAGTCCGGTACACGCAGTGACAGTGCGTTCTTGTCGGGTGCGTCGCCAAAGTTCTCGATAACCAGCTCGACGGGGTCAAGCACAGCCATCACACGCTTCGAGGACTCGCCGAGGATACTGCGAGCCACAGAGTATAGCCGCTCGATTTGGATCGTTGACTGCACACGAGTAACTCCGATGTCCTTGCAGAACTGCTTGATAATCTCAGGCGTGAAGCCGCGGCGACGAAGACCGTTAAGTGTACCCATACGCGGGTCGTCCCAACCACGCACCGTCTTGGACGTGACGAGTTTGAGCAGTTTACGCTTACTGAGCACCGTGTAGGTCATGGACAGACGGGCGAACTCGTACACGTTGGGCTTGAACAGATCCAGCTCATGTAGCAGCCAGTAGTACGACTCACGACGCGTCTCGAACTCGAGCGTGCAGATAGAGTAGTCGATGTGCTCCAGTGCGTCCACAATGCAGTGCGTGTAGTCGTACGTTGGGTAGATGCACCACTTGTCGCCGATGTGCGGGTGGGGCACGAACTTGATGCGGTAGGCCACGTGGTCCCACATGTTCGGGTTGGGACTACCGAGATCCATTTTCATGCGCAGGCAGGCTTCGCCCTCGCCGTACAGACCGAGACGCATCTTCTCGAATTCGGCCAGATTCTCAGCTACCGAGCGCGAGCGGAACGGGGACTTGCCGGTCTCGGGAACGTCCTTCTCGTCCTTGGCACCGGGCGTGGCGTGGAACTGCTGCAACACGACGCGAGAAGCCTCGATCTCGGGCTTACTCTGGTGGCAAACGTACGCTTTGCCCTTGCGGATGAGTTTAAGCGCCAGTTCATACAATTCCTGGAAGTATTGGCTGCTGTACGTGACCTTAGTGGGCGTGTATCCCAGCCAGTGCACATTGTTGGCGATGGCGTCGATGTATTCGTTGCTCTCAGCTTCGGGATTGGTGTCGTCGTAACGGAAGTACGTCTCGCGCTTGTCCAGCGGCACGCCTAGTTTCTCAAACGCCTCGAAGAAGTTCATATTCATCGACTTGGCATGGCCAACGTGCAGATATCCGTTCGGCTCGGGCGGGAAGCGCGTGCGCACCTTGCCCTGGGTCACGCGCTGGTGCTCGGCGAGCTGCTCCGGCGTGTTCTTGGCCAGCGCCATGTCGCGCGCCTCCAGGCCGGTCGTGGTCGTGCTGGAGCTCGCCATGGGGGGAAAGAGGAAGAAGTCTAGGAACTGCTTGAGCTTGAGAGCTCTGTGGCGAATGAATTTGTGGCTCGAGTTTGTGAGTTGTGTGCCGTCCATACAAAAATCAGGTCAAACAAGATCACCATAGGAAAATGCCAGTGATGCTCAACAGTTATAGAAGTACTGTAGTAGGCTACAACAGTGACAAAGCTACACATTGTAATACTCGTCTTGGTTTAGATAGCCATGCCGCAAGATATGGCAGCAGGACGGCGGCTTTCGATTGTCTTACTTTGCTTGCTGCCTTTGGACGTCTACTTGTCTTTTTTGTTGGTGTGCTAATCCTACTTTTTGGCGAAGGAGACCTTGAGTGCGTCTGTGGGCGTGAGCTTGAAGCCGAAGAGTCCTTGCAGCGCGATGGCTGCCTGCGCCTCGTCGCCGAACTCCACGAACGCGAGACCCTTTTTGCCTGGCACCATACGCACCTCCTGCAATACCACAAAACAAACAAGCAGTCAGTACACCAGCCCCATTCCAACACTGCAACCCGGTATTGAGGCATCGCACCTTAAAGCCCTGGTACTGCTTGAACAGCACGGCCAGCATCTCCTTGTTGCAGGACTCGGGTAGTTCCTCCAGGAACAGAATCTTGTTCGGTACGTTCTGCGCCGGCATGCGCGGCTTCGGCACAGCGGACGGGCCAGCTGCAGCAGCGCTGCCATTTGCGCTTGCCTGCTTCTTGGTCGTCTGCTGCTCGGGCTTGGGATCGCGCTTCCGTTTCTCTCGAGGGACGAAGGTTCCCTCGCGGCGCGCAATGACGTCGGCCTTCTCCTTAGCGAAATGAATGGCCACAGGCTTGTCGAACAGCGTGGTGCCGTTCACCGAACGCAGCGCGTTGGAGGCGCTAGGGATATCATCGAACGTGACCCACGCTTGGCCGCGTAGTCTCCGCGCACGGCCCATGACAATCTCCAGGATCTTGCCGTACTGCGAAAGCGTCGCGTACAGCGTGGCCTTCATGCGGTCAGCCTTGATATGGTCGTTCAGGTTGTTTAAATAGATCGTGTGGTTGGGCGGCACATCCGCCGTCTCCACGGCGGGCGGCGATGTCGCGGTGTCTGCCATGCCAAACTTCTTGTCTGCTTAGCCAACTGATGGGCACTCCCAACTGATGGTATCTCAAAAATCAATTTTTATACTGGAACTTTTGTGAAGTTTACTGGTAATTCTCTGCGTTTATGTTATTTTTTTGCAGTGCGGAAATTTCACAATAAACATTATTTGTGTAGCCATCGTGTATAATAGTGAAGAAGCTGGGCGATGCTAGCGACTGCGACTCTGCAGCACAACCTGGCGGCTTTACAAGCTCAGTTAGCGACGCTGCAGCAGGAGAACAGCGCACTGACCCGCGACTTATGTCTGAAGGAGAACTACATCCAGCTGAAGGATCAGCAGTTCCGCGTAATGCAGCGGCGTCTGGAGGAGCTGGAGGGGGCCGTGGCGCAGTGGAAGGACCGATGGTTGCAGCAGGTGAACGCTCAGCAGGCCACGAGCACCAGCGGGGATAATAATGAGGACATAACTGGAGGACAGACGGACAGACTGGAGGACGCCAAGTGGACATCCTGGAAATGCAAACCTGGAACAGCCAACCGCGCGAAGGCGTTGGCCCAAGCAAGCGCCAAACTGGAGAAACTCTCGCAGGTAGACAGGAACAAACTGCAGCCACTACTGGGGGCTATTGAACAGGGCGGGGTCGGGGCCGTAGAGGACCTCGTATTCGCTGACGTGTCGGAGGAACTCAGCCGCATCCTTCTGCTCTACCTGTTGCCGGCTCTGCTGGACGCGATGGACGGCGCACAGCAACTACAGTGTTTCAGTCGCACGTACCGCAAACAGACGATGGACTTTAGAGTCTGTACGCGGCAGGCAGCGGAGGCGACGGCGGTGTCTGGTGAGGAACTCGCCGCGTCGGCCGTGTCGGCGCCGTCCACGGCGGACAAGCTGCCGACATCAGCGCCGTCCGGTTCTTCGGCTGATACAAGTGGAGAACCACTCGTTCCAATAGCTCAACCAGCACCAGAGACAGAGGAATCCGAGGCGCCGCATCTGTTCGACTGTGTGGAGCTGGACCGGCGTGGGGCTGCACGCAACCCCGTGCCGCACGGTCCGCGCGAGCTGCACGCGACCAAGGCCATGTTCATCTCCCGTCCTCTTAGTGGATCAGCAGCAGCTCGAGCTGCGGTTCCTCCTCTGGATAAACTGGTGGATAAATCTCTTGACAAGGCATCACGGCGCTACACGCTGACACCGAAGCGTTCAGGGCCAACGTTTGCAGTAGAGACGACACGTACACATACGATGACGATGGGTGCGCTGCCGTCACCTGCTCAGTCTCCCTCCTCGATGGGCATACTTCCTTTAGGCTCAGATGGAGAGGTAATCCCGATGCCTCCGCGTGAGAGAGAAGGCAAAGACGGCAAGATCAAGAAGATCGTGGGCAGCGTATTCGACCGTCTGAGTCGTCACAAGTCGCAGCAGTCGCTGGTATCCTCTGCAGCCACCAGCTCGTCCTCACATGCCTCGCCGGTGCCCTTGAGTGGATCAACGGAAGTGGCCGGGGACGACGACGAATCGATCTGCGACGGCTGTGGACGCGGGCCGCTTGTAGGAGTCAAGTGGGTGTGTCGGACGTGCCGGTTGCTAGGCGGTGAAGAGTACGAGTTGTGCGAGAAATGCTACGGCCAAGGAATCCACGGCAAGGAGCACGAGGACGCGCTGTTCGCCCGTGTCGAGGCCATCGTCGTGCGGAAATGCCCTCGACTCGCGAGTGAGACGGAGCTGCTGCATCTACTGCGAGTGGGTATTTGCAAGGCCAACCTCAAGAAGTTCAGCTTCTGCCTCACTTGGATTGCAGACCTGTTGCAGTGTAATCGCACGACGGATTTGCGTGCGAGGGCATTGGAGATCGCGCATATCCCGCCGACTGTCCGCAGCGAGTTTGCGCGACTGCTACGCGAGCTTCTAACGCGGTATCGACCGGATATTGAGCTGAAGACGGAATGGGAACCGGCAGCCGGCGCGCAGCACAGCGCTGTCGGTCCTGGAACGCCAGCAATGCGAGGCGAAGGAGCGCCGGACGAGCTGGACACGCTGCGAATTTGGGTGAAAGACGCGTCTGTGGTGTCGTCGGGAGCCACAAGCATCGGAACACCAGCGATATGTTAACTGGCGGCATGAGGATAATAAACTAACCATTATATATTTTCGTTGTGGGTTGTGTAAGACTGCAGTAGTGTTGTAAGACCAGCGAACAATACAACAGCAGTGACAGCAGCGTATATTCCGGCCCAGTGTTGACGCGGGTGCTGTACGTTGCTGTAGTGTTCGTATGGATGCCCGTGATAGTCCAATGCTGGCTGAAGACCGCCCATACAGACGGTGTTGTCTGAAGTGCACGCGATGCCCACCTGCTTGTTAGTGTAGTCGAAGCGCGTGTAGTGTGCTCGGAAGAAGACCGTACCGAGGACCATGACGTCGAGGTGGTCGCTGACTTCGGAAGAGTCGATGGCGTCAATCATTGCTGTGCATTCTCGACGGCGCTGGTCACAACGGACGTAATCGCTCCCCTGTAGCTGGAATCGCAGACTCGTGGCGTCGGATTTGACGAAATTGAAGGCGAGCGACGGAAACTCGTGCGCTTGGCAGGGTCTGCATACTGGAAGTGATCGCCTCTCCTTTGATGAAGGCAGCAGGCGCGTGCCAAAGCGAACGGAGAGAACCTGGACGATCCTACCAAAAGTATACTGGGACAACAGCAGCAGGGACGTTCCGGAGTCGAGCAGTGCGACGCCGGGGTTTCCAAATGGCAGTGTTAGATTGCCAAACGACAAGTTCTGCACACGCAAGGCCCAGTACCCATAGCTCTCGGTAGCTTGGGTATTTGAGACGAGAGGGAAACTGAACCACGTCGCGTTGGGAGTCAACAAAGCTGGGTCATCGCCTCCGATGATCAGTTGAGACGCTGGCTGAGCTTGAGACCAGCTACTGATGTAGAACGAGAAGACCAGAGGTTTCGTCGAGCCTGGTTGCTGGGACAAAAGACCTAGAAGGCTCGAGTCGCAGTAAATCTGTGCTAGTGCTTCCATTCCAAGTCCCACGACGCCTTGAGCGTCCAGATCTGGAATCACCGATGTATGGTCCTCCACGAAGCCGACAGGAACATCGTGGAGGAAAAATCTGTCGGTGGGTCCAGAACCGAATTGCAAGTCTGTCGGAGCTGCGATTCCTGACACGATGCCGCCTCCATATCCGATCGTAAAAGCTCTTGAAGCTCGTCCGTCGTCCTCATTGTCAGCATAAACTCTGGAGACCCATGTATCGCTGGAGCCTGTATCGAAAACCACACGCACACTGCGTGGTGGGGAGCCCAAGTGCACAACTCCAGTAAACCGCAATTGATCATTGGTTTCCAGAGGGATGCGGACGAAGTGGTGCTGGTTGGCGGTCGAGATCTTCTCCGTTGAGAGCAATGCGAGCACTAGACAGCGCAAGACCGACGTGCATCGATTCATTTACGAGCGCCACTTCGGATATGTGACCGTTTGAAATGTTGAAGGTGTCAAAGTTAGGTGATTAAAAGATGTTCACTTTACCCATAACCTTCCTTACTCGCATGGTGTCCATGCGTTGCAATTGGTGAGGTGACAACTTGTACGAAGAGTATGTATTCGCAGACAGGAAAAGTATGGGCTCGGTCCTTGTCCACATCAACAATACGAAAGAATTCACCTCGAGCCAGCCGCAATGCCTCACATGCTTCAAGGTGGCAATTTACAAACTTGTACAAATACCACGACGGAGAATATTTGCTGCCTCTAACAATGTCACCACCTTTTCATCGCGCAACCACGGTACATGTACACGTTCCAGTTGGTGAGTCTGCCATTACGTGCACATACACTCGTGAAATGCTTGATAATTGATTAGTACCTCGTGGCACGAGGTCCGTGCATTTCGCGCGAAATGTTTAACGCCGATTTATAGACGAACACGAGCCTAGGCATGGGCAGACTTGATTCCCGACCAACGCACTTTGTAGTGAAGGCAGCGGAATGAAGTTCATTACTGTAATGAATTTCATTCCGCTGCTGGAGCGCAAGGCATGAATGAATCCCCCTTGTCACAGCCGAATCTATTGTTTGTACTTCCTACTCGATACTGAGACCAAGTTCTTTATCAAAATGTCCCGTTCATGCTGGCTCAACTGCAACTGTGCATCATAATGGAGCTGCTGAAATTCAGCCTGAATCCGATGCTTTATCTCTATGGAAACAATGAACCACTTCCCAATTCTCCTCACAGGAATTCGCTCCACAACAAGGGCCACCTGTACGTAACCAACCAATGAAGCTCGCCATCAGTAGAACGCTTCTGGCGGCCGCGGTAGCCGTCGTAGCCGTCTCGGCCGACACGGACGTGTCCGTTTGCAGGGACGCCACTTACACGCTCCCAGACTCGCGCGGTGCCATTTGCTCCGGCGCAGGCGACGCCCCCGCAGGCACTGCCTGCCCGCTCAAGGGCGATGTGGCCACAGCCGACTGCCACTCGTACTTGCCGTCGTATGATGGAACGCAGTGCACAGCGCAGGAGGACGCCATGTGCACCATTGTGAACGGCAACACTTGGGGCTGTGTGTTCCCGTCTGTGGGCTGCGCTGGCAGCAGCTCGTCGAACGCGACGACTCCATGCCCCGTCACGAGCCTGCCGGACATTAACGCGACTACCCCGTGCCCGGTCACCTCCCTACCGGACACCAACGCGACGACCCCATGTCCAGTGACCTCTCTACCAGACACCAACCTGACTGCGACGCCGTGCCCCATCACCTCTCTGCCTGATACTGAAGTGACGACGCCGTGCCCGGTCACCTCCCTCCCGGATTCAGAGACGACTACGCCGTGTCCAGTTACCTCTCGTCCGGATACCCTTGCCGCCACTTCAGTAACAACCCCGTGCCCTGTAACCTCGCTGCCGGACACGACCACGGCTCCTTCATCGGCGACTCCTTGTCCTGTGACTTCACTGCCGGACACAACCGACGCACCGTCCACAACTCCGTCTTCGAGCACTCCGTGCCCGGTAACCTCGCTGCCGGACACAACCGATGCGCCGTCGAGCACTCCTGCTGCAACCACCCCGTGCCCTGTGACTTCATTGCCGGACACAACCGACGCGCCGTCCACAACTCCGTCTTCGAGCACTCCGTGCCCGGTAACTTCGCTGCCAGACAACACTAATGCGCCTTCGAGCACTCCTGCTGTCTCCACCCCGTGCCCCGTGACGTCGCTGCCGGACACGACCACGGATCCTTCATCAACGACACCTTGTCCTGTGGCTTCACTCCCGGACACAACTGACGCGCCGTCGAGTACTCCTGCTGCAACCACCCCATGCCCAGTGACATCCCTGCCCGACCACGAGCAGCAGCAACAACAGTCGTAAGGTGTCCGTATCTGTAGTTAGCGCTCCAGCAGGATGTCGGTTGTTGGCATTTAGTCCGGAGATTGAATCCGTTTTGCATCTTTCGCTTCGGTCTTGTAGTGGATTATTTCATTATTGATCGACGCCTGTTTGAATAGCAGGTTATGTAGCAGACGACATACTCGCTGTGTCGGAGTCACCTCACTCACCCCCCGAATGGCGATATGCGGCGAATCTCGCCAGTGGTGAACGGCGGGGGGATCCTCACTGAGGACGACAGCATAGCCGCCAGTCAGGATAGTTGCCCCGTGAATCCGTCAGTCACACCTGTCTCAATCTGAGCAACCTGATCTCGCTAACTCAAAAGTTTGAAAACGCCCAGACCTCTCTGAGTTTATCTATGGTAAGTAGCGCGGTGCCTGCGTCTGCTTCGGTGTTCGCGGCGGCTTTGCACTCCTGAAGCCTCGACTCGCCCAGTTTCTGGTGCCGTCAACCTGTTCAGCCAAGCTTCATCCTGCAATGCAAGGATCCCCCGTGCTGCCTGTATCCGCCATGGTCCATGGAGTGGCAATGCAAGTGAAATGCAGCACCGAACGCTCCTGCGTCTAGCTCATTTCTCTTTTCCTCCGCTGGAGAGACTTTGGACTTTAGGCCGTGGATCAGGTAGACAGGAATCACAGGATGAAGGTCAGCACGACGCTCCTGGTCGCGGCGCTGGCTGTCGCTGCTGTCGTCTCGGCCGACACGGACGTGTCCGTTTGCAGAGATGCTACTTACACGCTCGCAGATTCGCGCGGTGCCATTTGCTCCGGCGCAGGCGACGCCCCCGCAGGCACTGCCTGCCCGCTCAAGGGCGACGTTGCCACGGCTGACTGCCACTCGTACCTGCCATCATATGACGGATCTCAGTGTGTAGCACAGGAAAACGCCGAATGCAGTATCGTGAACGGCAACACGTGGGGCTGTGTGTTCCCGTCTGTGGGCTGCGCTGGCAGCAGCTCGTCGAACGCGACGACTCCATGCCCCGTCACGAGCCTGCCGGACACCAACGCGACGACCCCGTGCCCAGTGACTTCACTTCCTGATACAGAGACCACGACACCGTGCCCCGTGACTTCACTGCCGGACACGCCTTGCCCCGTGACATCGCTGCCAGATACAGAAACAACGCCGTGCCCAGTGACCTCGCTGCCGGATACAGAAACAACGCCGTGCCCAGTGACCTCGCTGCCGGATACAGA